GTGGCCCCAGCACCTTCTTGGTGGATGGCTCATGGAAGCCTGCATGCTCTCACCTTCCATGGTGCCCTCTGGGGTGGACTCTGTCAAGAGCCAGCCCTCCTCCCAAGAGAAAGGAGGGCAGGCTGGAGGGGCCAGTAGGCAAGGCTCCTGTCCAGGTCCACGTGGTGGGAAGCCTGTCCTTTGGCCCTGACCCACCGCTCACCCTGGGCCCCCGCCTAGGCCTGGAAGGAAATTTCCTCATTTGGAGCTGTTCCCTTCCACACACAATGCATTTGGGGCTGGCCTGGCCCTGCCTGGCCCAGAAACAGCTGACGTGGGAGGAGGAGGGAGCCTCCCCTGGAAGTCTGCACAGGCACGTCTGAGAGCCTTCTGTCTGTGAGGTGAGCCCACAGATGGTGCTGAGAACCGGCAGGGGGCCACACACATCAACCTGATAGTACTGGCCACTGTCACCTGCCTAAGCAGCCTGAATGGGGACCTGCATGAGATTGGGGTAGTTACAGTGTAGCTCCTATAATTAACAGTCCAGGATTCAAATCTACCCATGCGACCTGGGGCCTCAACATAATAACAATAATGATGGTGATTGTGATGATGACGGTGGTGATGATGATGGTGATGATGGTGGTGGTGGTGATGATGGTGATGGTGCTGATGATGATTGTGGTGATGGTGACAATGGTGATGATTGTGGTGATGATGGTGATCGTGGCGATGATGGTGTGATGATGGTGATGGTGTGATGATGGTGATGGTGATGATGACGGTGTGNGGTGATGATTGTGGTGATGATGGTGATCGTGGCGATGATGGTGTGATGATGGTGATGGTGTGATGATGGCGGTGATGATGAAAATGATGGTGATGGTGTGACGGTGATGATGATGGTAAGTGCTAGCACACTGAGGGCCTACTGAGTGCCATACCAGTTCTGAGCCCTGCATGTGTTAACCCTGTGAATGCAGACAACCCCAGCCCTGTGGGATTGTGCTTTTACCATTGACCCCACTTCACAGCTCAGAGGTAGAGGCAGCCAATTAATTTGTCCAAGGTCACAGAGCCAAAAGGCTGAGGGAGAGTAGAAACTCCACCTGTAATCCTGATATGAGATTGGCAGCCAAGGTTATGCAGAGCACTTTGTGGGTGGAAGGTGGGCTGGAAGAGGCGTACGTTCTAGAGTGGACAAGGGGCATTCAGGGACCTGACTGGGACTACCCTGCTGAGCAGCTGCTCCTCAAGCCTCTGGGGGCTGCCCTGGGATCTACAAAAAGGGCTTAGCTCAACACTGTCGTCCTGTGCCAGGTCCTCCTGCCCACCATGCCCTTCGTCCCATCTGGACTCTGGCTCTTTCCCAACCCACCAGTAAGGGGGTAGGGGCCTGGAGCCTGAGGGAGATGGCTCAGCCCCCTTCAGCTAGCAGGGAAGTGGGCAGGGAGCAGACAGGTGAGCCTCTGCCCTTAGGCTGCATACAGGGCCACTTGCATGTGCAGTAGTGCCTGCTGGGGACAGCGCGAGCAGGATACGAGGACATTTCCCCCAAGCTACAGATACCTGGAAGTCTGCTGCCCCTCCCCTACAGTTACCAGGAGGCCCTGAAGCTCAAGTCCTTCCCCTCCTCCCTTCTGTTTGTGGGATCTGGACGTTGGACAGCAGGGCTTCTCAGACGGGTTCCTCCAGATTTCATGTTCAAGGGTGGGGAGCAGTTTTCCTTTGAAAACATGGCCTTGGGACCCCGCCCCAGGGAGAGAAGACCGTGATGCCTTTGCGTGTCCATGTATGTGTTCCTATAGTCTTAAGAAATTTAAAAAAATATATATCTTTATTGATTTCAGAGAGAGGAAAGGAGAGGGCGAGAGGGAAATAGAAACATCAATGATGAGAGTCATTGATCGGCTGCCTCCCTGCCTCCTGTATGCCCTCGACTGGGGATCGGGCCCGCAACCCGGGCATGTGCCCTGACTGGGAATCAAACCCTGATTGCCTGGATCCTAGATTGATGCTCAACTGCTGAGCCACGCCTGGCTGGCCAAGAAATTTTTTTTAATGTGGTAAAATATAACATAAAACTCACTGTTTTAACCACTTTTAAGTACACAGTTCAGTGGTATTAAATACACTAATAACATACTACCACCACCACCATCCATCTCCAGAACTTTTTCATCTTGTAAAATTGAAACTCTATCCCCATTAAACACTCACTCCCCTGCCCCCTCCCCCAGACTCTGGCACCCACCATTCTACTTTGATTTTGACAACTCTAAACACTGCATATAAGTGGAGTCATACAGTATTTCTTTTTGTGACTGACTTATTCCACTTAGCATGTCCTCAAGGTCCATCCATATGCATGTGTCACAATTTTCTTTTTTATGCTGAATAATATTCTATTTTATATACTTAACACATTTTGCTTATCCATGAGCCTGCTGATGGGCACTTGGGAGGTTTGTTTGTTTAGCTACTGTGAACAACGCCGCAGTGAACACGGGTGTGCAAACAGTATCTGTTCATGTCCTTGCTTTCAATTATTTTTAAATGTTTTTATTGATTTTAGAGAGAGGGAGGGAGAAACATCAATGTGAGAAACAGCGACAGTTTGCCTCCCATACGCACCCCAACTGGGACTGAACACAAAACCTGGGCATGTGCCCTAACTGGAAATGGAAACCATGACCTTTCAGCGCCCAGGACAATGCTCATCTGAGCCACAGTGGCCAGGCCCCTGCTTTCAGTTCTCTTGGGTGTATAACCAGAAGCCGAACTATGGGGTCACGTGGATGGTGAATGTGTGAGGACCCCCACGCTGCTCTCCACAGCGGCTGCACCATGCTATTCCCACCAGCAGCTCACGGGGCTCATTTCTCCACGTCCTCGCCAGCACTTAGTTGTTTTTTCCTCACAGCACCCACTCTACTGGATACTATAAAAGGTGAGGTGGTGTCTTTGATTTGCATTTCCCTGATGATTAGTAATGTTGAGCATCTTTAAATGTACTCATTGGTCACTTACCTTTGGTGAAATATCTATTTGAGTCCTTTGTCCATTTTTGAATCAGGTTGTTTGTTCAGTTTTAGAAGTTCTCTATGTATTCTGCATATTAATCCGTTATCAGATGTATGATTTTCAAATGTTATCTCACCCTGTGGCTTGCCTTTTTACTCTGCTAGTGTTTTTAACAAATTTAAAAATTTTCATCAAGCCCAATTGTCTTTTTTGTTGTTGTTGCCTGTGCCTTTAGTGACATATCTAAGAAGTCATCGCCAAGTCCAATGTCATGAAGTTTGTGACCTAGTTTTCTTGAAAGAGATTAAAGTCTTACATTTAGGTCCTTGATCCATGTTGACCTTGTTTTCCATATGGTATGAGGTAAGGGTCAGCTTCCTCCTTTTGTATGTGGATGTCCAGTTTTCTCCCGCACCATGTGTTGAAAAAACAGTCCTTTCCCCTTGGTCTTGACACCCTTCTCAAAAATTATTTGATTGTACATGTGACGGCTTATTTCTGGGCTCTCTATTCTGCTGAGTACTCAAGGAAGGCCCTCTGCAGACCTCTGCCTGCCACTCTGGTACTCGAGCTGCTTGTCTCCTGTCTTCCAGCTACAGAGAAAATTCCTCTATCACCAGGCCCAGCTGGGCTCACCCACAGACAGACACACACAGGCAGGCCAGCTATGCAGATCCCCAACCACGAACATAAGTTATGTGCCTGCATGTCCTGTCTGTGCACATGCTAAGGGTGTACATGCTAGGGATGCATAGCACCCGCCTCTCAGGGCTACAGGAGCACTGAATGACCTTCCTGGAGGACACCAGGTTCAGCGATCTCACCCCTGACGCCCAGCTGCTAGAGCCCAGTGGAAGCAACAGCAGACACACTGGCCACAGGAACACCGATTTCCAGGTTGAGAGGACTTACAGCCCCAGCTCCAACCAGGACCACATGCTAAATCCTTCCAGAGTCATGAAGTTGGCAGTGACTCAAACCCGGCACTGTGAAGCCAGGCTGACCAGGATTATTTACACATTCAGTCCCACACGAGCAAGCAGACCAGGTCCAGAACCCTTAACTACCACCAGAGACCCGGGTGGGCAGGTGAGGGGGTGTTTCCACGCTCAGCCTAGGGCAGTCCCCATGGGGCAGGCAGGATGCACTTGGTCTCAAGCCCGCCCTCGGGGGGGTGTTCTGTGTCACCGGGAGATGAAGTCCCAAGCAGATGTTTCAGCTGACTGCCCCGCACACGTGTCACACGGATGTGGGGCAGGGGCTCTGGGAAGTCAGCTCTGCACCCTGGGATTTAAAAATGTTCTTTATTGGTGGATCTTGGCACCGGGACTCCGGAGGGTCGGAGCGGGGTGGCGGCGGAGGTCGGGGTAGCGCAGGGCCGTGGGCGTGACCTGGTTCTGCCTCCAGGCGTCGGGCCTCGGTTCTCCCAGCGTTGGCCTCCAGGTCCCAGGACGGCGTCCCACCCGCGGAGGCCGCACGGCGCTGCCGCTCTCTCCCCGCGCCTGGGGCCTGGCTCTGCCCGCGACACCCAGGAGGGCTCCTGCTCGGCTAGTACCGTAGGGACCGTCCCCAGCACTGCGTCTGGGCTCTGGCACCCGACGAACACCCCCCCGCCGTTAGCACCGCGAGCTGCCTTTGCCGACGTCGGGACAGGGCGGGAACCGGGACCGCGGCGCGCCGGGGTCGCCTGCCCGCCGGATGCGGCGGGGACTTCAGCCCGCAGGCAGCTCCTCAGAGCCACGCCCCACCTTCGCTCCCGTCAGCCCGCCGGAAACGGAAGTGCGCCACGGCGGCCGGCCTAGC